CATTTAAAAGGCAGTCTCAACATCCATTTGATGAATATTTAAATTATACTGATAAGAATATGAAAGTAACAATTTTAAGGTTTGCATCTTAATGACAGGGGAGTAAGTATCCTCAATACGTATTTTTTTTTACTGGAAACCTCGAACCACTAATCTTGCTTTAAAAACATTACCTGGTTTTCTTTTGAATATCCACTTCACATCTAGAATTGCTTTATCCTCTGGTTTAGTCACTAGTGTCCAAGTGTCCAAGTGTTATTTTTAACAAGACTGTTCATTTCACTGTCCATTGCCTCTTTCCAATGTCCAGCCTCACTGCATGTTATTGCCTCCTCAAAGTTACCTGGAACTGTAAAATCACAAAAATTTGCACTAACGCAGTAGTACCCGAATTCTTCATGAAATCGAAGTGGTGGATTGATTTGCCTTCTTGGTCTCATTCCACTTTTTGTTTCATCTTCATTTATCACACTGTCCTTGGAGTTATCATTACTCGATTCACATGACACTTCTTGAGGTTCATTCTTATTTGTATCATCATTCTTATCTTCATCATCACAACCTACACACATTATGTCTTCTTCAATAATATCAACATGCCTGGCAACTATTATTCTGTTATTCATCAAAACTCTATATCCAACTTCTGTATATCCAAGTAAAATTCCAAATTCAGTTTTTTTATCCCACTTAGACTTTCTCTTTTCTTCTGGTATTCTTAACATACACTCTACTTCCATATAATTTCAATTCATTAGCTGATGGTTTCCTATTGAAAAATATTTCATATGGCATCTTCTGTACAACAGTATTTGTTAATGTCTTGTTTTTCAAATAAGCAGCAGCTTTAATTACTTCAGACCAGTAACGTCTGTCAACTTTTGCTTCGACTAAAAGACATCTTGCCACATCCATTATAGTTCTGTTGTAACGCTCAGCAGTACCATTTAATTCATGTACATATGGTGGGCATGACTTTATCTTGAAACTTTTTTCTCTTGCAAATTTGTATACCTTGCTATTCATATATTCACTACCATTATCACATCTTAGTTCTTTGATAGTCTTTCAAGTCTTCAAGTAATTTGATAGTCTTTTTAGTTTTAGATTACTGTTAAATTTTGAATTTCATTTACATATTCAATTAAGCAATCTGAGACTTGATCCTTAGATCTGATACAATAAATTTTTGCCAACTTGCTATAATCATCAATAAAACTCACAAAGTATTTCTCACCATTGCATCCACTTGTTCTGTGTGGTTCATTTACATCTGTATGTATAATCTCCAGAATATCTTCTGCTTTTTCTTCTGTTATTCTTGAATGGTAAATTGCGCATTTTATTTTCAATGCATATGGCACACTTCATATATTCGGTTTCTATTTCTTTAGGGATTTCTTCTAATAGCTGATCTTTGCACATAATATCCAGATTTTTAAAATTTACATGTCCAAATGAACGGTGCAATTTTTCTTTTAACGTTAACTTATTGTTGGTCAAACTTGCAAATATTTTACTATTTTTAACATAACTCTTTACTTTATATAATCTTTCTTCTTTCTCTGCTATTTCTACTAATGAACCATTGACATCATATATTTTAGAGAACTTTTCATTTGAAACTATTTTATGATTATCAGTAATCTTCAAATAACTTAATAAATTTGCTTTCATTTCTTTTACATAAAATACATTCTTCAATGTTACGATAGATTCAGAGTTATATACAGGGAAACTATTATATTGCCAACCATTGTAGCTTTCAAAATCCTTCCATCACCGACTTTCACTTGAATAGGATCCTTCAAAGTGACTTGCTCTTTGAAATATTCATCACTGTTTATAATGTGGTCTGTGCATCCGCTATCCAGTAACCAATTGATTTCATTTTTATTCGTCATAATATTTGCACTGGAACTTGTCATGTTACTTTTGATAACAGTGGTGTGAAAACTATTGCCTTGATGACTGTTTATTCTATGGTTAGAGTATGCTCCACATTCACAATTTCCACTAAAAGCACGACTATGTCCTCTATTGTTTGAAGAACTTCAACCACAATAATTAGAGGAGCCATTACCACGATAGTTCCTTTGATGGACATGCCAACAATTCTTTTTAATGTGACCAGGTTTTCCACAATTATGACAGACATTCCCTTGTGGACCCGATTTGCTTGTTTCAATTTTGAACGCATTTGATTTTTCTGCTGGTGCACAATCTTCATAATCATTTTTCTCTTCAAGTAATTTTGATTTGATTTTGCTCTTTAGGTAATTGACTGTTCTGTCCTTCTCTGGTAATACGTCTATTAAGTCACCAATGTGACTGTAATTTGAAGGTAATGCTCTTAGCATATAGTTCAATTTTACTTGTTCCATCACGGTGGCGCCGGCATGTTTCAGTTCGTTCACATACTTCTCAAAATCATCGAAAATATATTTACATCAGGATAATTTTTCAGTTTCACACATTCTAAGTTATTTCGATAAACAATTTGTAGAGATGTTGAAGTTTTGCATCAAATTTCATAATTATATCAAATGCAGTCTCACACTCATGAATATATTCCAAATGCTTGTTTGCTATGGCGCCATAAATGTAATTTGTAGCTTGGATATCCTTTTCTTTCCATTTTTCCACGTCATCGTTTTCACTGACTTTTCGCTGAACCACATCTTTACACTTTTTAAATTGAAGAAATTTCATCATGCGCACTTTCCAATTAAAATAGTCCGAACCATCAAATAGTGGTATGCCGATATCGCTGCTTCTTGTATATGCCATTTTTACCTAGTACCGGTAACTTTTAAAACAAATTATAACTACTAAATTCTTCATTCATATTCACAAACCACAAGAACTGCTACCATGTTAAACAAATCGATATCATATCAAGAAGCAAGTCCAAAAATAAGAAACGTATCTTTTCACATTTTTTATTGAAACTTAACAACACGTGCACAACATTACAACGGCATCCATAGCTCGCACGCAGAGAAGAGACTTGGTGTTGCCAACATGGTAAATATAAATGTACCAAACTAACAATCATGGCATTTCAAAATCATGGTACGATATACTAGGATTTTACCAGGAATTATATATTTTTAATTTGGCATCTTTGTTAATTCACTGCAGTTTTTTTATGTTCAAAACTCATTTAAATTGTCTTAACATAGATTCGCTGCCATGATAAAAACTTTGTAACAGAAATGGAAAATATTATTTCATTTTAGTAAGTATTTTATTTTGCACAAACAGGTTACATCTCATAACACAGAACAAAAAAAGACTTAAAATAATAGGAGGGGGAAAACTAGAATGGTTATGACTGTAGGAATCATTCAGATATACAACTGTTGCCATTCACTTGTACCTAAAGAATTACATAAATAAAAATTACCTCTCAGCATGTTTTGAATCTACTCATAAACTATATTTAAATAGTATTTATTAGCCAAATTTGTATGCATAATTATCTTAGTTTGTGAAAACAAACTTTCATTGGTTAAAATAATATCTGTAATTAAATAAAGTAAATAAGAAAATGCAATATTTTAAATAATCAGGTAATCTACTCCAAAAGACAAAATTTGTTTTGACTGGGAAAGGCAGTCATGCCACTCTAGACATTAATAAATAGAAAATATATTGTTTATTAGTTTTTTTAGTTATCCACTTTGGAGTTTATATAATTAATATCCGTATTTTTTCCTCATTTTACTTACATTTAACTGAATGTTGTTCCTATAGAGAGCTGTGGTATTATTAGTTCTAAAGAAATTTTTCAATTTTTATCTGTTTTCATAGTACATAGCGCATCTGTCTGCATAGTAAACCTTTGAAAGTTAAAAATTCAGCTTTAATCTGTGAAATATGTTTCTTTATTATTAGAATGAGCATTTTTTAATGCACATCTTCATTTTTTCCTGATACAATATTAAAGAAAACTTGGAAAATTAGAGTTAAGTTCATAAAGTTAAAATTCTTTTAACTTAGTGCTTGTAAAAATTTTGTGTATACTTGTCCTAATTAATATTTAGAAAAATTAAGTATCTAATTTCCTTATTGGTCTGAAATAGTTTTTGTTCATGCATTTTCTTGTGCAAATTGTTAGTAATTTGCATTAACTTTTTTATTATTTTGCAAAAATTTGTATTTACATACTTTCAGATTACACTTAAAGTAAATTGTATGTTAATGCATCTCAAAATATACCTCTTCCCTAAAGTGATACTTTAGTTTTCATAAAGAGTACTAAGGAAAAAAATATGGTTTGGGAAAACATAATTTTGTATGTGAGAACTTGCAAAAGTTTGAGGTATTTGTATTCAAATGGCTTAGTTAAAAAAAAAGAAAAAAAAGAAAAGAAAAGAAAAAGGGGGAACAGATTACAGTTAAATACTAAAATAATGATATGTGGTTTATAATTTAATTTCAGAAAATTGAAATTATATATATTGTATAGTTTATTTATATATTTTGTATAGTTTGCTTGATTTAAAATTTTATTCTTTTCTAAGACAGTTTACTAATCTATTGAATTTTTAGCTTGTTTGTCATTGCAAACTTATTGTTACTATAATTTGTGTGTGTGTGTGTTTTTTTTTTTTTTTCCAGATCCTAAGCTCAATACAAACAAATAAGGATAATCTATTGAATTTATTTGGCATGTTAATTTTCAATAAATGTTTTCATTATTTTTATTAGTAGTTCAGCAAATGATTCCTTATATAGATCATAAATATATAATTAAACTGATTTATTAAAATTTCTTATTGATTATTTGATATACAATCTAAAACTCCAAAATCTAAAAAAACTTGTCAAATTTTAGCAAAATCTCTTTGAAGAAATATTTATTAGAAAATGATGTATTGTGGGTCATTTAGTGAAAATTACTATGCTGTAATTTTATATCATTAAAATTTCTTTAAAGAACTGCACAAAATTAATAATTTGAGTATTAATTGTTTTCTTTTCTCTATGTGCAGCAAGTGCTTTATCACCTACAGTAGAAGCAGCTATCCAAAGCAAATGGAGTAAAATTATGGGTCCTGAGTTTGAAATTGTTGTAAGTATTTAAAAGAAGTCTATACTGTTTATCAGCTTCAGAATGCTAAGAATTAAAATAATAATAATAATATAATCTGAAAAACTTTCAGATTTTAAATTATGTCCAAAGGGGCCTTTTTTTAACATTTTGTGTGTTACCTTATATTACCTCACTTAGACCATAAAATTCAGTTCAAAAGCTATATCACAAAATAGTTTTAAATTGAGCAGATCTTTAGAATTTCCGATACAGGGTCTGACAGGCTAGAGATAAAAATATTTTTTTTTGTATAATGTTGCCATTGCTCGCTTTGAAGTTCTTGAGTTTGTTAATCAAAAATTCATTAAAGTGTCACAGAATATGAAATGGACAATAAAACAAAATTCAAATTAGGGCTTCCACATTCTGATAATCTATGGAAGATTACATTATTCATGATTTCTCTAGGTAGGGTTGTTTTATTAGGCTGTTATCACATCTATAGACGCGCGCGCTTACCCGGGACAATTCCGAGAAACGAGTTTCTAGTAGCACGGCTTTAAGCTGCAGGCTTCCGAGAAATGTTTCGTCTAGCTAGGAGGAACGTGTCCCGGCTACGAGCAACATTTTAGAACTTTTCCCAAAATGTTCCGGCCGGAGACGTGTTCCTCGAACGTTCAACCAATCAGACGAAAGGTCAGCTTCTGAAGGATCTAGGTAACTTTCAATATGGCGATGGCTCTCACTGTGAAGTGATGGACGGTGGAAATAGAGGCCGATTTAATTATTGCTGTTTTGTTGTAATACAACTGCCTGAGTCATTTTTTAAATGTGTATATATTCATTAAATATGTAATCGTAGAAATTTCAGAGTTGACATTATTTTACGACGTTCTTGCATTTCGGATTTGTTTACAAATTGTTCGTAGCCAAAAGTTCGCCAAATTTGTCGTATTTCGTGCTGATCGTGTATTATAACACTGTTATATAATAGAATTTTATTTCTTAAATTTAAGTTGAATAATTTTTTTAAATCCGTTTGTATATGCGCGGCTTTTCTCCTAATTACTTATCTTTTAAATTGTTAACTGCATAATCAGTGACACATTTTAAACAGCATAAAAGAGGCATAAAAAGAAAAGCATAGCTTATGTAATAATGAGAATACTCATTAAATTTGTCTATTATTTTCATGTTATTAATGAAATACTTTTTGAATTATAAATACATTAGAAACTATACTTTTATTGGAAATGCTACCTATTGAAACATTGAAAATTTATGGATTTATTATTATGCATGATGAAAAAACATTTGTATATACATTCATTAATATAAATCTTATTCATTACATTAATACTAATAAATATATATTAACAACTTCTAAAACATCGCATCTCTCTATCTGTATGTAAATATATGACTTATTAGATGTGTATATATATATATGTATGTATGAATACAAAAATGAACATTGCCAAGAAGTTTATTTGAAGTTACTTTTAATTCAGATAACGATTATGTAATTGGCAGAACTATAGTTATCAGTTCTTTGCAAATTATTATGGGTATGTAATAATCAGTTGAAAAATAATTGATGAGTATTTGAGTACTAAAGAGTGTATACATTTTGTTATTGGGTTAATTCATAATTATATCATACGTATGATCTACGTAATAAAAACATGACTAATAAATAATAAGAAATGTAACAGCTGTGCATTTATAACATTTGATTACTTAAAACAGCGCACAACTGATTATCACCTTCATGTCTGTTTACACAATGAATTGCACTTTCCAATTAACTGCACGGACCTACTAGTGACCGAAGCGTCGTTGAACACTGGTAGTTCTGTCTCAGGTTAGAATGCCGCGAACGGGCTGGCTACATGACGTTTGCTTGGTTTGCCCCATTTGTAACTGGTATACGAGCCAGTTTTAAAAAATCTTCTACAAAGGGATCCCTCCTGTTGTTATCCCTCGAGGCTTTGCGGTAATCACATAAAACCAACTGAGCCCACCAGCGGCCGAGCGGTAAAGTCGCTGAACACTGGTAGTTCGGTCCGAGGTTCGAATCCCGCGAACGGGCTGGCTGAATGGAAGCTTCGTGGTTTTCCCCATGTGTAACGTGTATACGAGCCAGTTTTCCTTAGAAAGTCCTCCCCGAAGGCATCCCTTCCCTTAGGCAGATAGCCCTAGTGTGCTTTGCTGTAATCTCAATAAATCAAACCATAAAACAAACTCATGATGTGAACACCTAATTTCTAGAGTTGGTATAATTAATGTGTTTTAGGTATATTATCGAGTGTTCTATGGGACAGTAAACAACTCGCACATGTTTGATTGCTCATGTATTCATATGCTTTATTTGATCTTCATTTTGATAAATAGTATCTGCTGGCTGTGAGGAGGTAAATATCAGCCATATAGATTTTTGTCATTTGAATGGACAAAACAGTAATTATGAGCCATAAAGTTAGTCAGAAAATGCTTTTACCAGGTCACAAATTTTCCAGTGAGCCATCAAATTTTCATTGAAATGCAGACAACAGAAAATACACATAAGCGATGTGTGATAAATAGACTTATCCAGCACATGTTTTTAACTATTCTTAGAGTGTATACAGAATTTGGCTATTACTGATGTAATTGATTTCTATAACCAGAAGTGTGTTTATCTGTTACATGAAGTGCCAGAGTGGAGATCAAAGTGATTAACTTAATAGCAATCACCTTTCTATTATCTTCCATTATTAACAATAAAGTTTAAAACGAAAAGCGTGTGAGCGATACAAAACAACACGAAGAAGCAAATGTCACTTGAAAGGAAACGTCACTTTCGCCAATCTGAGCGATAACTGATTCTTGTTTGGCTTTCAGCCTGTTTGCCAAGTGAAGATGGTAACCCTATTTCGCCAAAGGCCGTTTCTCAGAACTGTTGCTACAAGCGTTTTGTCCTGGCAACAAACAGCTAATGTGATAACGGCTTTACAGTGCAAGAAACATACATTTTTGCAGATTCGTCATTATTCTTCATTATTACTAATTTGCCGGCTCACGTAAGGCTTATGAACTGCTGCTAATGTTTATCTCCACTTTGCTTCTAAATTTTTTAAAATTTTTTTATAGCATGCTAGGGGCCATAACCTGAAGAAATCTAAAGTTAGGAATGGAGACAAATAAGCAGAAATTCATCTGGATTAACATATATTGAAATACAAAATCTTTATAGGCACAGTAAATGTTACATGGTAAGCAGGGTAAAGTAAACAGGTGGCAACAACTGAAAACATTACCGAAAACAAGAAATAAAAATCGTGTTGCCACACATGTTGCAAAATACAAATGGGAAATATAATCATAAATTAAAAGTTATTTGCAACAGGAATTAAATGGAAATCGCACATTTGAAAAACAGTGGCAGTTCCTCTCTGCATTTAGCTTACTGAATAACATGCCCTGAAACATTTGTAGTTTTTATTATTATTTTAACAAATTTAATTAAATTGTAATGCAATATTTATTTTGGATCATAAGTTCCAATTCATTGTTTTATAAATAGAATATTTATTTACCTTGATTCAAGTGATTTTCTGTTGTAAGCTGTGCAAGTTTGCTTTTTTTTTCGGGGGGGGAGTATTTTTTAGTGTTAACTAATTATGCTAGACCAGGGGTCGGCAACCTGCAGCTCTTTTGATGTAAACTTGTGGCTCTCGAGTTCCATATGGAAAAACTAATAATTTATTATCAAAACCTTTAAAAAATAAGAAAATATATTTTTAAGTACCTAAATTCTCAATAGCTTTTATTTTCATAATCATTAATTACGCTTAACATGACCGTAATGAAATAAATTTAACCATTGTTTCTGTACTGTTAATTTAAACTAGCTCCGCCGTCAGCATGGCAGCTGGTAAAAAAAAAGAGAACTGAAGAAGAAAACTGAGAATTCAATCAGGATTGAGTGGAGTCGTTTGCATTCATATGCAACACAGATGGCCTTCCGTGTTCTCTCATTTGCCACCAAAAACTCACACACAATAAGAAGTCGAATTTGGGGAGACACTTCATTACAAAATATACCCAGTTTGCTGGTGAATATCCAACTGAGGACACACGAAAAAAGCTCTTGAAGAGCTAAAAAAAAAAAGTTCCACGCTAAGTAACTGGGTACAATCTTCCAGTAATGTAAATCTGCCAAGCTCTGCAGTATCATTAGAAATTGCAAAAAGAGTTAAACCATTCACGTCAAATACGTCAAAGATTGTTTTATATGTGCATCTGAATAACTGTTTCGTGTTATTAAAATAAAGCAGAAATCGGGAAAAAATCAAAGATTTGAAATTATCTGCAAAAGCAGTACAAGATAGAACTGCTAAGATGTTTTCAAATGTAACACATATGCAAGTGGAAGACATTCAGCCGGCTTCAGCCTTGTCACTTCCTATAGATGAGTCTTGTGACATAAAAGACACGACACAAGTTACCCTTTTCGTAGGGTATATGTCCTCCCAAGGTCCAAACAAAGAACTGTAGGATTGCTATCGCTCTCAGGACAAATTTTCACGGAGAAGATATAGCAAATGCTTGTTCAAAAATGCCTGGAAGACAATGGAATCGATATAAATAAAATCGCTTTGATAGCAACTGAGATAGCCAGAAGTATGACAGGAATACATAGAGGGATAACATCAATTCTTCATAAAAAAGTAAACATGAAATTCTAACGTTTCACTGTGTAATTCACCAAGAAGTGCTTTGTGCCCAAACATTTCTGGCCGAAATAGTTGAGATCATGAACTTGGTAATTAAGATTATTAACAGCGTTTTGCAAAAGCACTCTACCATCACCAGTTCAAAGATTTCCTTGACAGATAACCAGTTGTCTGACCAATTTCTGCACAATAAAGAGTGATGGTATTCCAGAGGTAACTTATTGCAACGTTTTACTTTCTGCCTGAGTGAAATAAAAATATTCCTCAATGAAAAAAGCATTGACCATCCCGAATTGGAAAAAGACAAACGGCTGCAGAACC